AAAGTGTTTAGGTAGTATTCCAAATTTCAAGGTTCTACATCAAATGGGTAAAAAGATATACAAACACCAAGCTCAAAGAGACACAAATATTGTAAAAAAAAATCTCAAATTTCAATTTTGCTTTAAAAAAACGATTGTTATATATCAATGTAAAGTGCATGAAAAGCACATTAGGAAACCGAAAAATTAACCCTCTATGTTAATTAGGTCACGTGCTAGAGCAGTCCAAAGTTGAGAATTTGTTTTTTTTGGGCATCTATAAAACCGGAAGTACATGTCGGAGGTCAAATATCAAAGTATCCTAAAAGCCCTATAAAGGTCAAGGTCACATGGTGTGATTGTTTAAAGCTCAAAAAAATTTAAACCGGAAGTTGCAAAAAATCAAAAGCGAAATTCAAAATTCGGCTCCAACGTATTTTGCGCAATCGGTTGTAGAATACATTCACATCAAATTTGAGCATATCAACTTTTACCCTGAGACCCCATTTTGAGTTTTACGAAAGTGTGTTTTTTCAATATGGTGGCCTAAGTATCACTTCCGGTCTGGATTTTTTTTTCTTCGTTTTTTTTGTAATAGCATTTACTTACGATCAGCATAAATTTCGTTGACCTATTTCAATTACACCGGAAGTTATTCGACCGGAAGTAAATTAAAATATTTGACAGTTACATGTTATTTACTTTAGTGATGTCTCTTTGCATTTTAAATTTCAGATCAATCGATCCAAAAACAAAAAAGTTGGAAAAAAATTGCAAAATTTGATCGAAAATTTCCGAATTTCGTAATTCTGCAACTGCTATCAGATCAGAAATTACAGACACATTCTAAAATTCTAAGTCCACAGATAACCGACACGAAAATGCGCCTTCTAGAGCCAATTTTCAACTTTTTGCACATTTTGAACTGTGGCACTTCCGGTTTTGCAAAAATGTTCCAATATATATTTAAGGAACACGTTGCCACTACAGAAGGTCTGGAGAAGTTGAATTGTTGGTGCAACTATTAAGAAGGGATATTTCGATAACACCTCGATAAAACCTCTTTACAATTTAAAAAAGATAGCTTTTCAGACTATATAATCTTTTATTGAATGCTTGAACACTGCCCAATTACATATACAACAATACAATAATTCTGATATTTCCCACAGAATATACAGCAATGGAATGGTTCTGAAACTTCCCACACAATATAGAGCAATGGAATGGTTCTGATACTTCCCACAGAATATACAGCAATGGAATGGTTCTGATACATCCCACAGAATATACAGCAATGGAATGGTTCTGATACATCCCACAGAATATACAGCAATGGAATGGTTCTGATACTTCCCACAGAATATACAGCAATGGAATGGTTCTGATACTTCCCACAGAATATACAGCAATGGAATGGTTTTGATACTTCCCACAGAATATACAGCAATGGAATGGTTCTGATACTTCCCACAGAATATACAGCAATGGAATGGTTCTGATACTTCCCACAGAATATACCGCAATGGAATGGTTCTGATACATCCCACAGAATATACAGCGATGGAATGGTTCTGATACTTCCCACAAAATATACAGCAATGGAATGGTTCTGATACTTCCCACAGAATATACCGCAATGGAATGGTTCTGATACATCCCACAGAATATACAGCGATGGAATGGTTCTGATACTTCCCACAAAATATACAGCAATGGAATGGTTCTGATACTTCCCACAGAATATACAGCAATGGAATGGTTCAAAATTTCCAATGGTTAATTTCAAAATGACTTTAAAGATTATAGATAATAAAATTCATAAAAGAAATATTGTACAAAATGTTCATGTAAGTCTAAGTAAGGTGATACGTGGAATAGGCCTATTTATCACTCACTATTTTGGTGTCCGCGTTATCTATAACCAAAACTTTTTCGTCAACAAGAGGTGCGCATTATATACGGGTAAAAGGATTTTTCCAGATATTGATGGGGTAAGAAAAGGGTGCGCATTATACACACTTGCGCATAATATTATAAATATACAATATACAGCAATACAACAGTTTTGACACTTCCCACAACATATACACCCATATAATGGTTCCGATAAACTTCCCACAAAACATACAGCCATAGAATGGTTCTTCCCACAAAATATACAGCCATAGAATGGTTCTGATAAACTTCCCACAAAATATACACCCATGTAATGGTTCTGATAACGTGATATTCAGACCATCGATTGTAAGTTAATATTTTTCTGGAACAGGAGAGGTCTGTTCTTCAAGATGACACAGTATTCGGTTTTTAAATTTACAGCTTGCTTCTAAAATCCATTGACGATACTTCTTCATAGAAGCCAAGTAGATGATTGGATCGACTAAAAATCCCAACATTAGCATGTATTTGGCTATTAAGATGACAGTTGTATTAATGGTCACACCAAGTAAATATAGCACCATTACTACCTGAAAATATATTACAATACAACATTCTTCAAATATTCAGTATTTAATAATGGTTTTCCGTAGCAAAAGCCCCACATACATTTTGAACTGCAAGAATCTTGACCAAAACACGTTTACCTAAAATCCCTCATAGGTGATTTGGATTTAAAAATATCATAATTGTCATCCCTGAACACTTTTCTCTAACAATAATGATTCGAAAAAAACCGTACAAGCAAGATTCTCCTGTCAATCAAAAAGAAAGGCAAATACGAGGGTAAAATTTGTGTAGTATTGGACTCCTAATAAGAAAAAGAGTAGGCTAAGCATGTTTTAATGACAATCTGCTTTTCAAAGTGCATGTATGCTATTAATTTGAAAAACAAATGCACAAGTAACAACATTGATTGACACGACTTGACCCATATTTGCACAGTTTAGTTTACGTTTAGTTGTCCGCTCTCTTCAAACAGTCTTTAGAAAAACAGTTTGTTTGTCTGCCTTCCGTAACCTATAAAGACATGACTGGTTCCAAAGAAACAAATCTTATAAATTCTAGAATCAAAGCCATGCCCCTTCACACAGGAAAGGCGTCCTCACTGCGCTGCTTGTGCGGTGGAAGCTTGATAAAAGCATGTTGAAAACGCAACACATTGTGTAGTGGTACAGTTTGTATTTTAAACGACTTGTTTTCGTGCTTTCATCACCTTTATTGGCGACCTAGTACATTTGTCTTTTTATCGCAAATGGTCACACTAGCATCAATATAATTATAATAGTGTACTAACCCCCAGTGGAACCCAAAATAAACAGTAACTGAAACATAATACCAAACACAGTTTTGTCATTTGGAACTCTGCAGGAAAAAATTTCTTCTGGTTTTTTCGACCATTAATATTTGGATGAATAGCCCGGTTCATGATGCTTATTAG